ATTGCTACAGCAATTCATAATAGATGAGAATGGATTGCTACAGCAATTCTTAACAGTTGAAAACGAATTGCTACAGCAATTCGTAATAGTTGAAAATAGAATGCTACAGCATTTAGACACGAATAAAAATGAAAAAAAAAGGGTTTGAAATTTTAAGGAGTTATAACTAGTAAACGGTAGAGATTATGAAATGTTAAGTATGAGCATAGGATGATGATCAAAAGTTAGGGTCGTCACAAGTTCTATGCGGCGCATAAATTTTTAATTTGGACATGCGCAGATCTAACCGTTGAAAATTTAATCCAATAGTCAAAACAGGGTGTTCTACTGGTGGGGTTTTTTTAAGGGGTCTTACCATAAAATCTCTCAAAAAACAATAGTAAGGCAAAACAATTGTAAAAGTTACCCTGGTCACAGTTACTTTAGGGCCCGTTTGTTTCATGTACTCAAACTCAAATCATTGATTATGTTACATGTTTTTTCTCTTACAAAAAATTTTAATTTCAAATATCAGAAGCAAGAATTATGGGTTGAGTATACCTTCCAAACGAGCCCTTAGTAGTTCTTACTAATTCAGATTCTTAGAGTGAATGGTCTGACTACAAATTAATGGATCAATGTAAGTGTACAAGTACTGCTTTTTTTTAAATAACATTGTATAATTATTTGTATAGCGGCTTATCTTGTCAGTCTATAAATATCTCAAAACGATAAATAAGGGAACACATGAGTAATCCAAATAATGCACGAGAACATTGATACTCATAATCGTTAAGAAATGTTAGGTAAATGAGTTGGTTTTGTTATGCTTTTTTTAACGAGTAATGAAATATATTCATTAAAGAGCTATTAAAGGGCTAGGATACAAGGCAACACTAAAGTCAAAGAAACGGGAGCTACTCACATGACTAGATAATACAAACACACCCTTATCACAAAAACAGATAAGACTCCTCCACAAAGTTTCACTAGAACAAGGTTCAGACACAAAGAAACGACTTAAGATGAGCCACATCTTAGTCCAACAATGGACCCATATCACACAACTCAGTATTAGAGCGGTGGGGAAACCACTCTCTATCTGAGAGACACACCACAAACATAAATTGGTAAGGAGACCACCCTCTAGATGAGACAAAATGTTGATAAATGGGAAAACCATCACCGTTATTACAACATAAACATAAATAAAAATCATAAAAACATTAAAAAAATCTATAAAGATCCCAAAAGATCAACCCAATAAAATTGAGCCTCTCAATGTCGGAAATATGCATAGACCAGTAAGAACGGCTTTGAGAAAAGGCTCCCTTGCCTCCCTCTTTCAATCTAGTTCTCGTGGTTTCAGCGGGATCCCGCAGTGGACACGTCCTAAATCTATGGTTGAAAAGCAGCGGCCTCTTCCCCTTACACGACTCCAAAACGGAAACTTCCCACACCTCCAATGGCTCCAACTCGACCACGGTCACCTTTGAGACCATCCCGACCGTAGCATATAACATGAGGAAGGCAAAGCACAAAGCAAAACCAAACCCATATCCACCAAGATTTACCCTACTCATGGAGGGCACCACCCCCTGCAAAACAAGGCAAAAGAACCAAAAGAAAAGCAAAAAACCAGGTCGGGAGGCTAGAGACCGTCAAGAGGTGGCTCAGCCAACTCCAGCCCCACAAAGCACAGACTTGCTGGTGGCCTCTTGAGGGGAGAAACCTTAGCCATGCAGTTTTGCTCTGTTATTGTCAAAAAATAATGATAATTCTTTTTTTTAGGGAAATAATTATAATTCTTAGGACTTCTAAAAAAAAATTTACTGTTAAGAACATTTTTTAAACATACTCTTAAAGTATATGAATTTTAATTTTAATTTCTTAGTCTTAATTAATATCTTTTTAACTAATATTGTTATTTGATTAAAAATATTTATTAAGAGTTAAAGGTTAAAAATTCTAATAAACTAGGAGTATTAATTGAGACAAATACTCCCTTTTTCCTTTATTGCTTTGGAGAATAGCATGCAAATCTCATACCTTATAAGTCCCAATAAACCATAACAGAACCAAACTGTCACGCAATCTTTGTTACTGAAGAAACAATTTATTACCAAGAGGAAAAATGAAAAAACGAGTACAAAAGTCAAAACCATGCATGTTTAGTTTCATGTTTATATTGAGGAAAAGCGCCCGTCAGCAGATCTCCGAATTCTCCACCACAACCGTTACCCATTTCTCCTCCTCCCTCTCCAGAATTGAATACACACCTCACGCGTGTCGCCGGCGATCCGGCACAGATTCCGGCGCCGGCGACCTCAGCTCTTCTGCCGGTCAGTCTTCCCCGGCGCTTTCTAGCATCTTCCGCCTTTCTTCCCTGCTTTTCCGCTTCTCTGATTTCGCTGTTTACTCTAGAGATACAATTTATTGTTCGCGTACGTGTGAAATATACGCGTATTTTAAATTTATATACGATTCTTCTCGATCGGTTTTGCAGTTAATTCATGTTTTGGAATCGCATTTTGGATCTGAAATCTGGCCCTTAATTGTTGTCGTCAGATTATTGACTTGTCTTAGTGAGGAACTCTTGTTTTGGATAATTTCTTTCATTTTCTCTTTTCTTTTTACTTTCTGCATATCCTTTATTTCCTTAACTTTTACTCTTTTAGGAAAATTGGCACTGCAAAAAGCACAAAAGGGTTCAGTAGAATACACTTAAAAAAAATGCTTTTAAAAAAAAAGTTTTTCCCAATTACATGTTTATTATAGCAAAATCTTGGTTATGCTCTTCTTTTTCATGTTTTTTTTCCTTTCATTACAGACTTTCATCTACTTGTTGAAGTTTGAATCTCAGTCAAAGCAGTAATTTTCTGATGCATCAATATCTGAAGCAGGTCTATTTGTGCAAGAGTTACTTAATTGCAAGATTGAACTGGAAATTAGGACTTAATTAGGCCTGATTAAGATGGCTTCAGCGCCTAACAAGATCCCAAAAAACATGCTCGGAATTCCCAGTATACTTGGGCAAGAAAGATGTAAAAGCTACTTTTTTTTTCATGGCGAAACTGCGCTTGGAAATGGGTTGAGGACTTTCTTGTATTTTCTGTTTCTTGCTTACTGTTTCCTTGGATTATCAGCCATAACTGCCCGCTTCTTCCGGTCCATGGAGAATGTTGTGAAGCACACACGTAAAGTGGTAGAGGTTGACCCTTACACTGGGGAAGAAATTATTAGGCATGAGAAAGTGTGGAATTTCACTATTGCAGATATTAGCTTGCTGGCCTTTGGGACCAGTTTTCCCCAAATATCTTTAGCCACTATTGATGCCTTGAGGAATTTGGGAAACCTCTATGCTGGAGGTTTGTTTTTATGGAACCCGCCCTTTTATTGTTTTTTTCATTGGGATTTCTTGTGTCAAGGTATAAATTTGTTCATCTTATGAAATTATAGGTTTGGGTCCTGGAACACTTGTTGGTTCTGCTGCTTTCGATCTTTTTCCTATCCATGCTGTTTGTGTTGTGGTTCCAAGAGCTGGGGAATTGAAAAAGATATCCGACATAGGAGTTTGTCTGGTGGAGCTCTTTTGGTCCTTTTGGGCTTATATTTGGTTGTACATAATTTTGGAGGTAATTTAAGTAAATTTTTTTTTTGTTTACTTTGTTGGACTTGTTTATGCAACACCATATGTTTCTTGTTTTCACTACATAATAAGAAAAAATGAGGCTTCTTGTTTGTTTGCACTGTAAATTCTTCTGCTGACATATATGATACGCTAAAAACTATGTAATGAGAAAGTTCTGCTTTATGCTCTAAGGTTTGGACTCCAAATGTGATTACGCTATGGGAAGCCTTGTTAACGGTACTTCAGTATGGATTACTGTTGACACATGCTTATGCTCAAGACAAGCGTTGGCCATACTTGTCTCTTCCTCTGTATGTGTCCTTTTCTTCCAATGCAAGATGTTCTTTGCTACAAATTTAACTCTATTCCACAAAATTTATATAGGCCTCGTTCATTTCGCAGATTCGAGTTTTCAATTCGAGTTGAGATATGACATTTTCTGAGAGCTTTTCACTGTAGTAGAAAAAGTTAGATGTGACATTTTCTGAGAGCTTTTTACTATAGAAACCTGAAACTGAAAACTCGAATCGGTGAAATGAACGAGGCTATAGTTTCTAAATACCACTGTTTTTGGCCACTTCTATAGTCTTCTTATATTTTGTGCCTTTTTTGTTCTCAAGGGAAAGAAGTGAGAGACCAGAAGAGTGGGTGCCAGCTGAGGCAGCTTCACATAAGCATGATGATAGTGTTGATAGCTACTCCGAGATACTTCAAGTAGGTAACGATAAAGACCGGAATTTTGTCGATATTTTCTCCATTCATTCAGAAAATGGGGCAGGTACTTTTCTTAAGTCTCTTATTGTGCTGATGTTTAGTCTTATTATGTGAAGGTAAAGTTACACTAGAAGCAAACTATGTTTGGAGTAAATTGAATCAAAATTGAACCATTCCCAGACAACTAATTAAACCATTCAATTGACAAGAAAGATACCAAATACACATGGAAACCTTCCACATGAGGGAGAAAACTAGAAAGTGGCCCCTCATAATGACCTTGTATTTATCCTAGTATAATTATGAAATACACCTCTGCTGAGTTACAAGAAGCACTGTCTATATCAGCAAGTTGTTAATTGTGCTCTACTTTGATCTGAAGGGCTAATATTTGATTTTGTTATGTCGTGAATAATGCAGTGAGATTAGGCCTATTAGACCAGTTTTAGGAGCAGAGTTTGGTTCACACATCTAAGTTTGCTGATTACAGCATGTGAAAGAACAAAGAATTATACCCCGTTACATCACTTACATGTAGCTTTCTGTTATGCTGTACAACCAGCTCAGTCTATAGACTTGAACGTAATCCACAATTTCTCAATCTCAATGTTTGAGTTGCAGCTCCGGTGTATCAAAAGGTGCCCACAACTGAGGATGCTGCTGAACCCTCCAACAAAGTTTTGCTACAAGAAACAGCTTTAGAAGATTCTGACGTACTTGCACTTTGGAAGCAGCAATTTGTCGATGCACTCACGGTATTGCATTAGTCCAGTGTATAAGTAATTACCTTGCTCTGTGTGTCTATGTTAGGAACCTGCGAGTTAGAGAGTAATAACCACAAGAAGAGAAAAAGAAGATTGGCAAATAACAACGCAAATGGGGCGTCTGCTCCTTTTATTCAATAACGAGCCACCATAGACTCGGTGGCCATGGCTGAGTACAAGCTAATCTGTATGAAAGGAAACGTAAATGGTTGAGGAAGGCTTGGGAATTTCGAGGTCCCACCCTCCCAATGCTCAAAGCACCCAAAATAACCGAATGCCTTTCCCAAGGTCCCCGCACACCCTTAAATCCCCTGACTCCTACAATCCTTCTAACAGACTTCTCCACGTCAGCTCTTAGTTCCCGAAATTACATTCCCCCCCTAACACTTACTCTATTCTCACTC